TCGTAGAACCCAAATTAGACAAGCACCTAAAACTAACATCATAAAGTTCCATAATGCCCACAGCACTACAGACCTATCTACTTCAATTATCAAGCACCATAAAGCTAAACAAATAAATTCCAAAAATTATTGCAAACTATAATTATTTTATACCCATTTTTTTTCTTTCACTTTCAGTTGGTTTTTTAGCATTCGAACAGCATGAAACTACAAAAAGATCACAACTTAACAAAGAGAAAGTGAACATACTCACAACAGGAAAATGGGTATCAAGCTTCTTTCTCATGCTAACAGATTTTGGGTATCAAATGAAGCAAAAGAAGGAGACTCAGAAAGTGAAATCGAAAGCTTTGAACAAAAACACTGTACCGATCATCAACAAGGTGAAATCAATTCAACTCATTTCAGATCCAAACGACACACAATGCTAATTTTGTTAAAGTAACCCACAAGTTATGAAAAATAAAATATACTATGTATTTTTTTGGGGATGTAGGCATTTTTTTCAGATTTTAGAGGGGGGCAGCCGCCCATGCACGCCCCCCATGTAGGTCCGCCCTTGAACATGTATTAGCTTAATATAGGTGACGTTAGCAAGGCAAATGTATTAGCTTTGTTAACATGTAAAAATATAATTATAAAATTTTTGTTACACAGCCCTACTTTGCCCAATGTATAGGTCCATGTAATTCTAATTTTACATTTCAACTTTCAGTAATTCTAATTTTTTTACTATTAAAAAAATTAAAAATTAAAAAAATTAAAAATAGTAACCCAACGGGCCAACCCGGCCCGTTTTCCTATCAACCCGTTTTAACTCATTTGTAAACGGGGCGGGTTACATTGGGTTAGTGGGTTGGGACTCATAACCCAGCCCGCCAACTTGAGTGGGTTAAACGGGCTGGCCCGACGACTTGGCCCATATTGCCAGCCCTAGTAAAAAATGCATTTTGGTTATTTTTCACTTATTGTTAAGGGAGGATTCGAATTTCTTACGAGGGATTCTAATCCCTCAACAAGGATTCGAATCTTTATTGGGTAGTATGCCTATAACAATTATAAACGGCTAGTTTTTTTTATTTATAAAATCACTATATATACACTTCTAACGGCTCTTTAACATATGAGACATCATTTGTGCACTTTTAAGAGTATTTTGAGAGTAAAAAGAGCTTCATAAACATTCATTGAGATCATATACACAAATTCATTAATCTTGAGCTCATTTTTGCAAATTCATCGTATCCACTTAGAGCTTCAACTAGTATACTTACTCTTTTAAAGAGTTGTCATTTAATCATCATTCTCCTACTATAAAATCATATTGTAAGGTTGTCAAACATGTAAGAATCTTAGTAGTTGAAAGGTTGTTAAGCACTCATGAAGCTTAGTGGTTATAAAGTTGCTAGGCATCCGTGAAGCTTAGTGGATTGTAAGGTTTCCAAGCACTAGGAAGCTTGGAGGTTGGTCAAGCATCCATGAAGCTTGGCCTATTTGCAATTTGGACATAGTTCACATGTAGTGGTGACCGAACTAGGATAAATAGAGTTTGCATTTTTCTTAACCTTCATCTTTTATTTCAACCACTTTAATTGTTTCTTTATATCTAATATGTGATAGTATTAGATTATATCATTGTGGTAAATTGTGTATCATGGATTACTTCAATATGTTCATAAGCTTCTCATATGTCAAAGTTTCTATAAAAATGTTAATTTTGAAACGGTGGGGTATTTTGCGAAAATTTTATAATACTCTATTAACCCCCCCTTCTTGAGTATGAAAGCTACATTTTTAACAAGAGGGAATTCTTATGGGTTGTTTTATCTTACATTCAAAGTAAGAGGATAATTTTTTGAGCATTGTTCTTGGAGTTTTTGGAGTTAAGGGAAATTTGGAATATCTTTTGGTTTATTCTCTTTATTGGGTCAATGTTGTGCGGATATTATGGAGAGAAATTATCCATCTTTATGACTTGCATGTCTACTTTGATGAGTCATATTGATAAAATTGAAGTACAAAAATTAAGGGAAGACAATATTGGTATAAATAATTGAATAAACATGTAGAGCTTGGGTGGAATATTTAAAATTTTGTTTTGTTTGCATTACTCCCAAGTAACATGACTAGGGGTGATAATAAGGCCAGGGGCCTTAGGCCCGACCTGTTTCAGCCTGACCAGCCCGTCTTTTTTAATTGTTGGGCTCAAATATGGACTCATATAAAAGCCTTTTTATTTAAAAGGCTTCAGACCTCCATGGATAAGCCCGGCCTTGGGGCCTGAGAGGCTGGCCCGTCTTTACATTAAATTTTTATTATTATTATTAATCATTCATTTCAACGTTACACTGACAGCGTCCCTCAGTTTCAACTTTCCTCTCTTGCCTATGCGCTCTCTTTCTCTCCAGTCTCCTCAACCAAGTTTATTTAAAATAATAGCACGACAAGACACCGAAGTCATTGTTTAAAATAATATATCATTTGCAAAGGGAAGTGCTTTAGCTGTATCTTACGATAAAACAAAGACACCAAAGTTTATTGAGAAAGGTGATATTTTCGTTGCTATATGGTATATTTTAATAGTTTGAATTTTTCACAGAACATATAAGAAGCATGTTCAACTAGAATGTAGACGAAAATTTTAGAAGAAAAAGCAAAGACGTAAAGTAAAGTCCTATTTGTTATTTTGACTTTTTAATATTAATATATTTTTTTATTATAAAAGAAACAATTATTTTTTTCTTACAAAAAAATACATATCAGTGCATGCTAGAACACCATCAAATGTTCTTATAAAAGAAACAATTATTATAAAAGAAACAATTATTTTTTTCTTTGGATCTATAAGAGAGGTCTAGAGATTCTGAGAGAAGAAGGACTACTTCTTTCTGAACCACCAAATGACCCTAACCTTATAACCTGGTCCCCAAAACACCAGCCTGAACCCATACCTTGTATGATGTTTTCACCACATGATTTTCCGGGAGCCTCACAATCCTTAAGAATCCATGAACTAGTCATCCATCTATCTGAGCATTTCACGGCACACCTTAGCCTCTTAGCTCTTTCCTTGGAGACTATCATCCATGAAACCTTAAAGATGAGAGGACCGTAAGACTGGATCATTACAGAGTCCGTTTTCTGATACACAGGATCCCTTTGCAGGGCAAGTGTAGAGCATACTAACTTCCTCATCCAGAGATTAGTAACTATAGTAAGAACATTATACTAAGTTTTCGGAGAGAAGAAAGAACTCTTTAGAAACTCATAGAGAAACACACAAGCTTTTATTTTCTGTAAACTCGATCTGAGAATACAAGCACACACTTAAGGTCCTTTTATAGGCAAGGAACCCATAATAACAACAAAAAAGGAAATTACATCACACTACACATAATTATACAATAAGACAAACAACTTTTCTAAAAGTTGATACAACTTTTCTAAAAGTTGAATTGTTGCTTTATACTTTAAATCATAACCACATGAGTGTCCTAGACATCATCATTAGTGTCTGTGCTAATGGACAAGTTGAGAGCTTTCCTTTCTTCTCCGTGGACCCCACCATACATCTCTTCCCACCAAGGTTTGTCTGTTTTGGCCTTTTCTTCAATTATTTCTTCCATGACATCAGCATTTGCATCATCAATTGGATCAAAGATCAAATCAATTTGCATTGGATCTTGGGCTTGTGATGAACTTGGGCCTGGGCCATTTGAAGAACTGGGCTGGTCTTCTTGTTCTACATACCCATTAAGTTCTTGGATATGTTTCAGCAACGTCTTCTTGGAACAGGGATCTAATGGATAATCTTTGAAATATCCCCAAAGGTATGCAATATTCTGAGACCAAAGAATTCCATCAGGCCTTTGCCAGTAAGGTCTGTGAATAATGAAAATGGCAGTGATCTTTGAGATCTCTTCTTCAGTTTTTTCTTCTTGTTCCTTTGCTAGAATAATCTTGTGTAGTTCTTTTCTCCACCATGGTATAGGAGAATACCATTCCAACAAAGTCCATAAGAAAGCATCTACTGCATCAGGAGTTATAAGAATCTCATAAGCCCTTTGGACTTTAAGAGCAAGAGAAACTGAATAATTAACTGTGAGACACCAAATGCACCAGAGTGTGTTTTCTGAAATATCTCATCCTATGGCAGGAAAAACTTCTAGGATGTGCAGGAAAGGAATTTCTGAGTTGAAGACAGAGGGAATAATCTCTTGTGTCTTTTCTTTTCCTATCTTATAACAGTAATAAAAATAAAAGTCTTTGGCAAACTTTTGGATCTGGTAGACTGAGGTAGGTTGGCCTAATTCTGGAGAATAGGCTCTTTTTTGTTTGGTTGTTCTAGGTAATGGCTTATTTATGTATATCAGAGGAAATGGGACACTGGCTATGCTGGAAATGACCTGGACAGGGGCTTTTGGTTTAGTTGATCTAGAAGGTCTAGATAAGAGGTCAGGGATAATGTTATGGCTTTCTTTGATGTGTTTGACAGTGAAGTCATATCTGGAAAACCAATCTTTTAACCTAAGGATTTGAGGATCTGATGGCATTTTGTTTTTGAATTCCAGGATTTTTGGAAAAGAAGAATTATCCATCTGGACTTCAAAATTGTGACCTCGAAGATGGAAATCAAATTTCTTGATTCCATTCTTGACTGCCAGGGCTTCCTTATAAGTGGTATGGTAATGAAGTTCTGCATCTGTAAATTGACCACTTGCATGTCCACAGTAGTACTTCTTGTTTTCAGCTTCTTCAATGAGAACCGCTCCCCAGAAATGATCACTAGCATCTGTCTGAAGAATTCTTTTACCAGTACTGGGAATCTTCAGGGCTGGTGGATTCTGAGCAATCTTCTTTAGTTCCTTGACAGCTTGAGTTTATTCTGGACCCCACGGAGGAGGATTTTTCTTTAACAGCTTGGACAGTACACTGGTGTACTTTGCTGCATTAGGAATGAAATCTCTCACATAATTAACAATTCCTAAAAACTGTTGAATCTATTTAAAAGTGAGATTTTCATCAGGATATTCTGCAAGTCCTTTTGCAATGTGTGGCTGTGGCTGGTACATTCCTTTTGAGAAATGCATTCCCAGAAAATCAACTTCAGTTTGGGCAATATGGATCTTCTTCTCAGAGAGCATAAGTCCATGTTGATTAGCTAGTTCTGCAAATTGATTGAGCAGCTTCCTGTGTTCTTCCATATTTTTGGAAAAAAGAAGAACATCATCAATATAGATAAGAATTGTATCTAAAAGTGGAGCAAAAATTCTGGTCATTGCTTTCTGAAAAAGGGAAGGAGCCACTTTGAGACCAAATGGAAGTACTTTCCATTGGTATTGAGCATTCGGAATGCAGAAAGCAGTCTTATATCTATCAGCAGGATCTAATCCAAGTTGCCAAAAACCTGCTTTCATGTCAAACTTGGAAAAGATATGAGCATCCTTGAAAAGGATAGGAAGTGTGTCAACCTTTGGAATAGGAAACTTATCATCCTGCAAAAAATGATTTAGAGGCCTATAGTCAATGACTAATCTTTTCTTGCCTCGAATTTTTTCTGACCTTTTCTCCACATAAAAGGCTTGACATGCCCATGGAGATTTGGTAGGCTCTATCAGTCCTTGCTTTAACAGTTCTTGGCATTCAATTCTAGCCAATATAAGGTCTGATGGGGACATTCCTGGGTGAGTTGCTTTGGTTGGATTAATATCTTCATTGAGCTTAAAGGGAAGCTGTACAAAAAAGTCTTCATTCTTCCACAGAGGATTTGGATGAGAGAATTCCCCATGATTTTCTGTACACAGAGGTAACAGTTTCCCCTTGATATCATCAAGTTCAGGAGGAGCTTCAGAAAGAGCATATAATTTTGAGGTTTCTGAATAAGGCTTGAAATCTCTTTTGAATCTTATCCCTTGAGGAAGGATTTGAAGCTTTTTGGCTTTAGTGTAGACATCCATGCCTATCAAAATGTCTTTATCCGACAGACGAGTTCCAATCACATTTGTCCAGATAACACATTCAGGGAAAAATCTTATCCCTATAGGATGTTTAGTGATCAAATTGGTTCTGAATGCTTTGCCATCAGCAGCTATAAAATAAGTTGTCTCCTTCTTCCATGCTTCAGGAGGTAAGATCTTGGGATCCATCATCGATCTTGCAGCACCAGTATCCATGAATGCAATCACCTTTTTAGGATGACTGAATTTGGATGATAAAATATGAACTTCTACACTGGGCTTAGGTATTTCTGGACTGATGTAGAATACTTCATTTATAGCAAAAACTGGAACATCACTATCAGAATTAGAGGAGGAATCCTGTAGTGCAAAGACAGTGTCTTCATCTCCAGTGCTTTGTTCTGAGTACAAAGATTCTGCATCTCCTTCGTCAAGATTCAAAGCAGTTATCATTTTTACCACTTTATCTGATTTATTGGGGCAGTTCTTTGCAAAATGACCTTTCTTCTTGCAAATGAAACATCTCTGGCCTCTATTCTTTCCACGAAACTTCTTTTTCTTGAAGAACCTGTATTGTTTCTGGTTCTTTTTGTTTCTGCCTTTTTGCTTTGGATTATACTTCTTGAAATGGTTCTTTTTCTTTGGCCCACAATCATAATTGCTATCTTTGCATTTTATCTCCAGATAAGGCTTCTTACAGGCTTGAGTGTACTTTGACCTCTGATTCATCAGGTCAGTCATATACTTATGCTGCTTGCAGAGTTTATCCACCACTTCAAGAGTCAGCTGGTGAATCTGGCCCATAGTGAGGGCTGTGAAATCTTTCCCTTGAGCAATCGCCATCTTGTTAAGCTCTGGCTGAATCTCCTTAGGAAGAGAAGCCACATAAGTGTTTTTGAGGCTTGGATCATTGTATCCATTCAGCAAATAGAACTTCTGCATCATTCTTTTAAAATGCCTTTCAAGATCTTTTATCTTCAGAGAGCAGCACTTCATTTCAAAAAATTCTTGCCTATTTTTCTTATCAATTATGTCTCCATCTCCAATGAATTCTTGGTGAAGAACTCCTAGCATGCCAGAGGAAGTACCTACTTGGTGAAGTTGATCTTGTCTGACACTTCCCAAGTTGTGATACCATTCTTTCAGAGAACCAATCATTCTGGAGCAAAATTCTTCCATTACTTTGTAAGGGTCAGCATCAGCAGCTAACAGCTTAGTATCTATCCATGCTCCAAATTCTAGAAGTCTCTTTCTCCATAGGTGTGGAGAAATATCATCAAATGTAAACCAAGGTCCTCCAGAGTTTGGCTTCTTTGGCTGATTTCTACCAGTAGCATTATCTGCTTCAGATTCATGAGAATCATAGTATGTTTCAACTCTGGATTCTGCAGTTCTTGCCATCAGTATGCTAGTAATATTAGCATAATTAGCTTCTGAAAGATCAGAGGAATCTATCTCAGAAGAATCTATCTCATCTTATTGTTCTTCTTCATAAGTTTCAGGGGTGGTTTCAGGTGTTTGATGGTTTGGTTCAAAGGCTTCTTCAGAACTCTGAGATTCATCTGAAGAGGATGAGGAGGATCCTGTGGTTTCAGAGGATTGAGAATCATCTGTGTCTTGGGGTTCTGTTTGGGTTATGGCAAACTGTTCTTTGAGATCTACAGTCTCAAAAGTTCTCTTTGAAGAACTGGGATTATTCATACGGTCTGTAGAGTCCGAGGACAAGGAAAGAGTTGTTTCCATTCTAGTTCTGGATGAATGTTTTCTAGAAGTAGAAGGTTGTTTTCCTCTTTCTCTACTTTCTCTTTCTCTTCTAGGCTTATGAAGGCTGGCTGGTTGGAAAAGTCCAAGGTTTTGGAGGATGAGGGTTGGTCCAGAATTCTGATGGTTTTTGGAAAGGAGAGTAATAATTTGGCATAAGAGGTGGTAAAAAGGGGTTATAATTTTCTGCTGGTTCTGGCTTTTGTTGGGATCAGATATTTTGTTCAATAATCCTCTCCAGATCTTGAATTTCTGCTTTCAGCCTCCTTATCTCTCTATTCCTCATATTTGCTTCTGGAGTAAAACCTAGCTTTCTGATTTCTTCTTCAAGCTGGGCTATCTGCTCTATGTTCTTCTCATAATGCTTTCCCATCTTCTTTGAGAGATGTTGCAGACGATCCTCGACTGTATCCATCTGATTACAAATCTTTTCAACCTTAGTGTCGAGTCTTTTCAGAATAGAATTCTGGGCTTTAGCATTTTCAGTCTGCCAATTGAGAACTTCTTCAGCTTGACTTAAGGGCTTCAGCTTTCCGTCTGACTGAACTTCTCCTTGGTGAATCACAGGCTTAGTGGTGATTTTTGTGGTTGGGTCAGTATGTCTCTCTAGAGGAGGAAAATCATGTGGTGAAAACATCATACAAGGTATGGGTTCAGGCTGGTGTTTTGGGGACCAGGTTATAAGGTTAGGGTCATTTAGTGGTTCAGAAAGAAGTAGTCCTTCTTCTCTCAGAATCTCTAGACCTCTCTTATAGATCCAAAGAGGTTCAGCGTTTTTCTGAGTCTTAATGCCTACCCATGGACCATTGTCTGGGTCAGATCTTCTTTGAACAGGAGGAGGTGGTTTACAACGCCGCCTGCGACTCCTTGTATCTTCTTCTTCTTCTTCTTCTTCTTCTTCTGAAGTATCTCCTGTGTGCATCCAACAATCACACTCAGGATCACACATATTAGGATCTACATCCCATATGAAATGACCATCAATACGATCAGTATAAATGGGAGATCCATCCGGCATTATCCCATGAACAGGGATCCAATCCTCCTTATAACATGGAGATATCATCATAGACTGGAAGATGGTAAGAGTAGAACTGTTGGCTGCTGCATCAGGCTTCTTGAAGATTGTTCTGACGGTTCCATCTACAGATCTTCTGCAACTCGCCTCATGAGACTGGATGGGTTTGCTGGCTTTATGAATCTTTTCATAATTAGTCAGCCATTCTAAAGGGATCAATTCTGTCAGCTCTTCTCGAGATATCTTTCTCGGAATCTGGATAATGGAAGGTGTATCTTCTGGATTTTTGGCTATAACAAACAGGGCATCACTGTGGCTATTAGGCAGCTGGGGGAGATCAACAGTATGATCTTGAAGTCTATAGATCATCTGATGATGAAGAGTTGCTGCATACGCCTCAGAGACTTGATCAGCTCCTGTAAGCTGTATCTGCACCTTCAACCTTTTTGGCAAGGTTCTATCCTTCAGGCTTACATTGTAATTTGGAAAGATGGTTAAAACCACACTTCCCGCATGAAGGGTTGTCAACACAGTTCCAATCACAACATTTTCATAATGGATGAAGCTAGAGTCCAGCAGAGCAACACGAGCTGTAACGGGAAGACCTTTCCTTTCATGGAGTGAAAGGATAAGTCTTATGGCACCAAAATGAAGTGCAGTGTAGCCTTCTTGTCTCCAGTGAGCAATTAACTCTGTAGGAATCTCCAGATCTACATACTGCTCCTGAGAAGTGGCTTGTAACTCACACTGATCCATTCTGGAAGACTGGACGTATTCCTTCATCGTTGGTCTCTTGGTAGAGATCAACTTTGTAATGCTTTTAAACACAGATCTTTGTCTTTTGAAGATGTTGTAAGGGCTGAGCAAAGGTGGTACTGTTTCAAGGATTTTTGCATCTTCAGGGACATAAGAGTACTCTATAAGGTTTTCTATTTTTGAGGAGATCTTTGAGGGAATGTGTTTAGGAAGGGACAAGGAAGATTGTAACATAATAGGCTGGGAGTTATCAGTAGGGTTTGTGCTATCCATGGTTTGAGAAGTTTCTCTCCTACTCACCTCGTATAATATCATTACTATCTTTACTCTCTCTCTGGAAGAAACTCGAAGAGTTTCCTTTAAGCTGCCACCATCGGGCAGGGAGCCTGTCATCGGAGATGACATAGAGGTTGGCTCTGATACCAAATGTTCGTAACAAGTAACAGGTAACAAATAAACAAGGTAACAAGGTCAATATTATATTCGTAACAGGTAACAGGCTAAGGCCAGTCTGACACGTTTAAATACATGCTTGGTCTGTTAAAATCAAAGCTCGGCTCGGCTCGACCAGTTAACATCCCTAAACATGACCAAATGGTCAAAACTAAGGCTATAGGAATTGTAAATTTTCTCATTTTGTGAGTTTGTGGAATTTCCTCGGTAGATTAATATATATGGGAATTGAATGAAACAATTATTAGTTGTTGGATAATTCCTTGCCCTTATGTGAATTGGTGTATAATTATGTTTTGATAATTTGTATTATTAGGGAATATTTGACATGCCTGCATTCTATTTGGAACTACCACCACTGAGGAGGAGATCACCGGATCAGGAAGACTGGGTCTGGGTCTGGGAGAGAAGTACGGAAAAGAAGAAGAAAAACGATTCAGATTTAAGATCTAGTTCTAAATCTAGGCAGCAGCGAGTTTTTTTTTGGTGTTTTTTTTACACACCAAACAACATCTTTTCATGTGTAAATTTTTTTTTTTAAAAAAAAATGCAATGACCCCCTTTGACCCGGGAGTCATGGGTTCAACTGGGGGTCAGAGGGATCAATGTGCATACATGGTTTAGCTGCTGACCCCAACCCTCAGAGAGAGGGGGTCAATGACCCGGCGGGGTCGACCTCGAGGCTGGGTGGGATTTTAAAACATTGTGTTGAACCATATATGTGCTATATTTTTTTATACAAATGATATGCATGTGAAGTTTATCTTTGTACTGACATTAAATATTCATATGTAGATGCTAAAATTGTATTTACAAAGAAAGGAAAGTTTTTCTCTAGATTGGATCCACATTGGTGTTGTCCTAAAAGTTAGGACAAGCTTAGGACCTTCTTAAATTTATTGGAATAAGTAAGTGAGATGAATGCAAATCCTAATGAAGACATTTAAAGTTTATGAAATTCTTGTTGATAGAAGGAACTATGCTAATACATTGGTGCAATGGCCCATAATTGAGAATCCATGGAGCTTAAATTTTTCATGTTGAATATCGGTTGAAATGTCCTAATATTGGCAGCATGACTACTAATTGAACTTGGAAAATGTCATTTGAATTGTTTCACAGAATGGATATGATTAATGTAATTTTGCTACCCTATATAGATGGTATATAGCCATGTCGTCCTCGTAGGCTAGTTTTATTGCCTTTTAGTACTCCTGTAGTATGTATATTTAACTCTTTATTGGAGGTGTAATTCTGTTTCATAACTAGTGTCTTACTCGTGCGATGCACGGGGAAAAAATCAAAAATTTTGTAAGTTATGGTTGGTTACTCTCTAAAAGAAATCAAGAACTACATCTTGCTATAAAAGTCCTGAATGATACAATGGTGGACGTATAAACATGAAGGAGCAAAAATGAAAAATGCAAACCTTTTACTTCAAAAATATATGAAATAAAAATGAATTGTCTTGCTATTTTGTGCTATTTTTCAGGTTGAAAAAGCTACTGCATTCACATAGAATTTTGTAAGTATCAACCACAAACAAAATTCTGTAATTCAGAGACATCGATTATTATACAAATCAAATATAGTTTTGTACTCAACAATTCTTTCTTCAAATATAGCCACTGTACCACCCCAATATAATCATCGAATTTTTAACTTACATAGGGTATTTTTTTATTTTTTTTGGTAATCAACATATGGTACTTTTAAGCGCATGAGTAATTGCTTTAGCGGAAGACTTTATTTGCATTTCACTATTACCTAGTGTAATTAAGTGAGTAAACTTTTTCTTTTCTTTATATATATATATATATATATATATATATATATATATATATATATTGCCACATTTAATTCATTATTCAATCTCTTATTATTATCTGTACAGTCTCATACCTATACAGTGTTCTTAATTATTTTTCTTTAATCATAATTAATAATCAAAATATTTAACGTAACTAATATACAAATCATGAAACTGAATATACATCATATATCATACTGTAATATCATAATCATACCAAATACATACTGAAAGTAACATTCAACATATAAACTTGTTCATAGGCTACATATGTCTACCAAAATGGATGTCAACTATAATATGCATGATATCTACCCATGTTCCAAAACATATGTCAATATATAAAACTATTGAAAACTACTGCAACTGTATTTTCTAACCACTATGCATTGGCCTCTTGCCCTGAGTGGGCTCTCCTGCTACTATCGGAGTACCTGAAACATGTCCCCTAAGGATGTGCAAAATGTCCAATTGATCCAAACCACTTTAAAAACTGAACCAAACCAAATTAAAAAATCGATCTTTTTTAATACAATTTATAAAATATATCCACTATTTAATTTTAAATGTGGTTTGGTTATTCATTTATCAAATGGTTTGGATATGCTGGATAACTAAACCATATCCATTTAACAAAATATTGGCATGGATTCAAAAGCTAGCTATTGAGAAGAGTATGTCTGGTTCGTATGATGCGCATCAAGCCTTTTCAGAAGAAGCTGATGAGCTTGAATATGATATAGAGTGTAGAAATATTGTCAAAGATTATGATGGTAACACGAAAAGTAGCAACTTATACTCTTCAAACTCAAAAGTCTGCAGTGGAAGACATAGTTGTAAAACCCGACCCGACCCGGAATCCGGTGAACCGATCATTGGACCGATTCGGGTCCAGCATTAGACCGGTCATGCATCGACCCGATCAAATTCGGTCAAAATCCAGACAAAACTGGCCAAACCCGGTCAAAATCGGTGACCTAGTGACCCGGTCGGGTCATGCATTTAAAAAAAATCAAAAAAACAAAAATGTTTCATCTAGTAAAAAAAAATGTAGAACTCATTTTAAAAACTTTTTGTAATTTTATTTGCTAGTCCACTCTTCTACAACGACCTCAAATTTCAGCTTCTAATACTGAAGCAATTTGCGGAATAATAAATTAAGAGAATGTGACATATGTCATTTTAATGTAGTTGAATTTGAAAAATATGAGTTCAATGTCATTGAGATTTATGTTTATGGGGATTATGAGTTGCAATTTAAATTGACATAGTAATAGCATGTATTTTTATTTATTTTTGCTTCTTGTTTTTGAGTTTATTTAGTGAACCTTGTTTAATTCATTTTAGATATGGAGAATATAATTGAATTTATATGTTTATATTTATATATATTTTTCTATATCTATATATATTCGAGCCAACCGGTCCGATCAGTGACCCACTGGCTCGACCAGTGACTCAGTAACCCAATAGCCCGACTGGGTCGATGCCCGGATCGGGTTTAATAACATTGGTGGCAGAAGAGCGAGTTCTTTCTAAGGAAACCACATGTTCATTTCTTTTATATTCTAACTATGGCTTGGAGAAGCTTGAGGTTAGCCCCTATTATGGCTTAAATTTGGAAGATTCTTATTATTAGATTCTTCAATAAAATGATATTTAGCAACTGTAAATTATAGATATGCACTTTTCCTAAATTGCTTGCTATTGTCTGTGTTGAAGTTGCTCAAAACTGAGTCAAATCTGTATATGAGCTATAACTGTTCAATTTGTTGGACTTATTTTCTATATCAATCTCTCTTTGCATGTGCATGCACAATGTCTGGTTCTTGTTGGTGGTTTTTTTATAATTATATTTTAGATAAAATTTGATTGACATAATTTTCTTCAAAATATATGGAACAAATTAGTTCAGATATTTTTTGCAATAAATAAATAAATGTGCTTTTTATTTTATTTTTTGAAAATAGCATAACTCATCAAAAATCAATTTTAAATTTGTTATAAAACCGATTTTAATTTAATAACCAGTTTATGATTCAGAATCAGTTTTGATTTAAAATCGATTTTGATTTAAAATCAATTTTGATTTAAAACCGATTCAAAATTGATTTTCAATCAAATGCTGTTATAATCCATAAACTGATTTTGGAACCGGTTTGAAAAAATTAAAACCAATTTTTAAAGTAGAAAACCGATTCGGTTTGAAAATCAAACCATTTAAAACTGGTTATAATAGTTTTTATCATTATAATTTTTTAATCTTTTAAGATAAAACGATCGTTTTGACAGTAAATATAAATAACTTTTCTGCTTTCACTATATAAACATTAAAGCTATAATTAAATTACAATAATATAAGTGAGTAAAATTGATTATAATAGATTACATGTCCTATATTGAAATTTGACAAAAAAAATTAAAACATTTTATTTAAAATCATCATGAATATTTTCTAATTGTTTTATTTTTACCAAATTCACCCACAAGTGACTGTCTTCAATGTAATCATATATACACAAATAATTTCGTGCCTTTTTTTTAGCAATTTACTATAATATTTTTTTAATATAATACAAAAAAAATTATTATTTTAAAATCAGATTTCATTTAATATATTTAAACATAAAACTAATCTTATTATGATTGATTTTCAATCCAGTCACACCACTTTCATGCGATTCTCATTTATTTGACATCTTTGATCGTAAAAACACCCTTTCGATCTCAACAAAATAACTTTTTCACTTACTCCATAACTCTTTTCGTAACATTTTTATGTTAGAACAGTTCATAATTAACATATTAAACACAAATCAGTAATGTTCTTAAAAATTGATTATGAACATAACTATAAATACTTTTCAAAACACCTTCATTCACAGCTAATCCACATAAAAAATAAAAATAAAAATTAAAGCACCTTTTTTTTTTTTTTTTTTATATAAAAAAAAGTACATTTGGTGAGCTGGGCCGAAAACAGTTTGGGTCATTCAGATGGGTCTGGATGTAACCTGACCCGGCAATTCCAAGCCCTAGGGTTACATAATGTTTTTAAGTTCAGCTCGCAGCTGAAACATTAGGGTTTTTGGCATTGTGGTAAGTCTCCATTCATCTTAACCTTCAGCAACAACCTCACACAGAGCAATGGTGAGACCCCTCTTTCTCTCTCTATTTGCCGTTTGGATATGAATATATATATATGATTCATGCATCAACAAGATTGTGTTTGTGTTGACTTAACAGGCTCCAAAAAGAGGGGGAAAAGCTCCAGTGGTTGCTGCCAAGAAGAAGCAGGTGGGTAACATAGCTTAGGTTCATTCTCAGTTAAGGTTTGATATGGTGTTCGTTTTTTGTGTTTTTTTTAATGTTGGAATGATGAAGATTCGTGATTTTTTTTGTTTTCTCAGGAGAAGGTGGTGAACCCGTTGTTCGAGAAGCGTCCAAAGCAGTTCGGGATCGGAGGGGCTTTACCTCCTAAGAGGGACCTCACTCGCTTCGTTAAATGGCCCAAGACCGTTCAAATCCAGAGGAAGAAGAGAATCCTCAAGCAGAGGTTGAAGGTCCCACCAGCTCTCAACCAATTCACCAAGACACTTGATAAAAATCTTGGTAATGATCCCAAATGGGATGCTTTTGATTTTGTAATTGGTGTTGAACATAGTGCATTCTCTGCATAAATATCATATTAGCTGTCCGATCCAAGTATTTTAATGGGTCGGCATCAAAATAATGTTTTTTGAAATATTTGTAGAGTACTCAGTGCTTGGCCTTAACCTTCACAAATGTTTCATTTATTCCTTTTTATTATTGTGTTAGCTAAGGTTGTGTAAATTTTTACTTGCTATATAGGTTTATGACTTTTGATAGAATCATTTACCTAATTGTAATTATTTAAATTTGATTGGATCTAGCTTAATTTGTTCCCATGTTGAATGGCTTGAAATGGTAGTTGATAGGTCTAATAATGGTAGGAAACTTCGTAGCTTTTAGTTTAAATCGTTGCAAGCTTGTGAATCTTTGGTTATGGTGCTTGGATTGACCACTTGTAAGTTCGTGATGTGCATTATTTATTTGGGGATTGTTGCTGTATATGCAGGATACTCTATGTAATGGTTGTTAATTTTGCTGTTTTTTTTAGTTTGGATTGGTTGTGAATTGTGATTGCCTCGAGTTTGTGCTAATTGCTTTTTATTGAATGTACTATGCAGCGACAAACCTTTTCAAGATGCTCCTCAAGTACAGGCCTGAGGATAAAGCTGAAAAGAAAGATCGTCTTTTGAAAAGGGCTCAAGCAGAGGCTGATGGAAAACCTGTTGAGGCAAAGAAGCCTATTGTTGTTAAATATGGTTTAAATCACGTTACCTACCTTATTGAGCAGGTCTTGTGCCTTAGCATGAATGTTCATTTACTCTCTTACGTCCATGTGTTGTGATTTCTGACTGACATAGTTTTTATCTTTTTCCCTGGCAGAATAAAGCACAGCTTGTTGTGATTGCCCATGACGTCGACCCAATTGAGCTTGTTGTCTGGCTTCCAGCGCTGTGCAGAAAGATGGAAATTCCCTACTGCATTGTCAAGGGAAAAGCACGCTTGGGAACGGTAATTATTGTCTAATAGTATCAGAACTTTCACATGTGAATTTATAATTTATGACTTATTCAATTGATGTGCCATTTTGACAGGTCGTCCATAAGAAGACTGCATCAGTTTTGTGCTTGACAACTGTCAAGAATGAAGACAAATTGGAGTTCAGCAGAATCTTAGAGGCTATTAAGGTGGTTTAGAGTTTTAATTGTTCAACTGTGTTGTGTTTAATAATCTTAATCCATGAAATCAACTGAATCCATGTTGTCTTGTTTTTCTTTTCAGGCCAACTTCAATGACAAGTATGATGAATACAGAAAGAAGTGGGGTGGTGGGATTATGGGTTCCAAATCCCAAGCCAAAACGAAGGCCAAGGAAAGGCTTCTTGCCAAGGAAGCAGCACAAAGAATGACCTAGAAGTTTCATATCTTTGGTTATTTTAGAACTTTTGAGGTTGTTATTCTTCTATAATTTTGATGGAGTCTTATATAAGTTAAACGTGAGGTTTTCCTTTTCATTATGGTAGCTTGTAATCTGCAATGAGTGGTTTCAATGTTTGCACTTGAAGTGACTTATGTCAGTAGTTATTTTTAAGATGGAATATGTTTTTTGGTTAAGTAGCCTTGCATCTATCTTTTTATGATCAAGATTTTTCAGTTTTTCAACTAATTTTTGCTTTTACATGTTTCTTAACCTGTCAATTAAAATGTTTTTATACTAATTATCCGATCTTGTATAGAAGTAAAACTTCATTTATTTTAGATGTTAAACTTGTTGAATAATACGATACCATGTCAGTATCATCGTATACATGTGTAATGCATCAAAATTAAATTCTATTCTTATTTTATGTTTATAGTATAATTTTTAGATTTATCTGGTAAACATGATATGAATGAGGATGTTTTTAAAGTTAACTAGAATTAAATTTTAATAAAATGCTTGTGTCTCTTCATTACAATCAAGTTGAATAAATCAAAATTATTGAAAAAGCCCCCTTTAAAGGGAACAAATAGTAAATCTACCAGCATGGATGAACAATTTACAAGAAACAACTGTAGTCATGGTTCGAATTTAAAGAAAAGTGAATTAGCTCTCTGTTTTGGTTATGTATAATAATTCAGCCTTACTCTCTAATCTTGGAGCGTAAAACCGATCAGGGGCCGTGAAGAGGAGGACATACTAAGTAGAGGCACCAAGAATGAATATGGGGGCGTGATTTTCTCCAACACGACCATTGAGGGAAAATGATGTTAATTGTCCAAGGAAATATTTGAAGGAGATCTTACTAAGCACAACGGTGAGGATGATGAAGAAGATATTATGAAATGCGAAATTCTACTCCTTAAAATTGAAGGAGACGCTTGGGGTTTCAAAAAAGTCATTGGCCCGGATGGTCTCTCAAACTTCATTTGCACCAGAGTTTAACCTATAGGAAGCCAATATCACGAAGGTTACGGCTTGGGTAAGATTCCCTAACATCCCAAGTGAATTTCATGAAGGCCTCTTTTTTAGGATGATGGGTAATGGGGTGGGAAAAGTTACTAGAATTGATAGAACCACATTCGAACAATGAAAAAGCCGTTTTGCAAGACCTTGCATAGAACTCAATTTGTCGAAGTCATTGAAAGTTAAGTACTTGTTGGAAGGAGAAAAAAAGAGTGTGGAGTATGAAGGGCTTCCCTGTGTGCATCCTGAAGGCAAATCCAGGAAGCCAGACCATGTTCAACAACCTCTCGAAGCTAACTTGGTCATTGGAGGTATTTCCAACATCAAGAAAACTGGTCTTGGGCCCTGGATAATTGTTAATCGTGCCCATAGGACAGGGAAGACTCTAGTTGTTCAGCCAACTAACTAATCTCGCAAAATTAGGGAATGGATCCAAAAGTGGAGAAAAATTGAGAGTCTTTAGCAAATAACATTTCCTTATGATAGTCCCCGTGGTTCAAGGTGAGCTATACTTGAGTTTGTGAACTCCAATTTATTTTAAATGAATTATCTCATTTGGAACTGCAAGGGCTGCAAAAAGGTATTTCAAGAGTAGAGTTCACATGACTATTATTCTCGAGCCTAGAATCAGTGGCAACAAAGTCAAAGTTATAATTCATAAAATGGGATCCATAGTTGAAGTTGTTGATGGTTTCTTAGGTAGTTTGTGGATTTTATGGTTTCCAAAGTTGTAACTGGACCCTCATTTTATCCACTCACAATAATCTTTAAGACCTAACTCACCATCTTCAATCCTAGAACAAATAGGTTTTTGGTAATAGTCTCCATAGAAAAATATTCTCTTAGCTCATATATATCAAGGGTGTTCACGAGAAAAGAGTATATTGTTTTCCATTTGTGATTAGAATATCAGGATTGCAAGTTGTGTAAGGAGTTGGAGGTAGTCCTACATCAGGAGGAGTTGTGGCACACCAAGTCTAGAAATCGTTGTTTTATGGATGAGGATCACAATACCAGGTATTAACATGCCACAACCATTGCTCGGAGAAGATGTAACAAGAGTAAAGCTAAAAAAAATAAGAGTGGACATTCAATCAGAGAAGAGAACAATCCAATCCATCTTGCTAATCTTTGTCATTCTCTTTAAGGAAGATATTCACAATAAGGAATGGACCACAACTAATCACACATGGTCCCTTTTTGATAGTAATGTTCATTCATCTCTCCAATTGTGTTATTCTAAGTATGAAATCAAGAGAGCTATCTTCCAAATGGAGATACAAATGTGTCCAGACAAGATAGATTTCCTATGAGTTTTTTATGAAAAAAATGTGGCATCAAATTGGTAGTGGAAAATCAAGAGTCACTTCTTAAAATTTAAAGTGGAAAACTGGCAACAAAACTCTGTTATTCTGGCCAGATCAATTGACTGGTCTTCCTAAAAAAACTTATTGATTTTACTCACACATGTCCTTGAGGACTATATATTGAGTTAAAAGTTAGTGACTATGTCAACATCCAACCTCAAACATGGGATTAGGTTTACTTATGCAACTACTTATGAGAAGAAACCCTGAACATAGTTCAAGAGTTCCCTCCCCCGATTATTAGCCATGAGGTTAATCACTTATATTGGAAGAATTAGTCATCCAATGGCTCGATTGTTAAGCTAGCCTACTAGAATATGATGGAAATTGACAACATGAACATCCGTTATAATAACCCAAATTTAATTAATTTAAAAGGAAATTAATATGTTTACTGAAAGGCTAGATTGGGTGAAAAACTTAATTTTCAGTTAAGTCCTAAATTGGAGGGAAAGAGAAAATATCCAAAAGTTTTTGGCAAAAGTGCAATTAAGCAAAAGTTATCCAAGACTTATAATTAATATTGTGCAATTCATCATACGAGTTTCACAAACTCAATGTGTTAACCTTATGTTTAAAATTGAAGGGTGTGATTGAAAATTAAAGGTTCTGATGCGAGGGTGTAAATAAGCTTAGATGAGCTTGGTTGCACATGATTAGAGATCTTATAACTTAATAGCTAAGTCTTCCAAAGGAAAATATCTGATTTTCGCTTTCTCTCTATTTCCTATGGTTCTTCTTCTCCTCAATCCTAGAGAATGTTTCTTTTCTCTCCTTCATGACCAGAGCTTAGGCCAAGGTAAAACACCCACATTTCCTTTTGAATTTCTTCCTCCATCTTTCATCAAAATTGAACATTGTTTACATCTTCACTCATATCTTAGGTTACAAACCTTGGATTTGAACATTCTTTTGTGTTTTGAAAAGCATAGAAACAGGTATACAATTTTGATGAAGAGGTCAAATCCTAATTTCATAGTTAAATGACTGGAAAATGAGCTCAAAGTTTCTACAATAATGCTATCATGGAAATCGGTATAGTCTCGGTAATATGGTTATACCTTGAGATTCACACCATGGATTTTGATGTTATTTGGCTCGATGAAAAGATGAGAAACACATCTATAACTTTAATGAATAGCTTTATAGATGAGAAACACATCAAGTTCCAAGTTCAAAGAGAAACACATTTTGATGTTGAGACCTGATTCTAGCTCTAAAAGACCTTAAATTGAACGTGAAAGTACTATAGTTGTCGTATCACAGAATCTAACCCAGTTTTGGAGTTTTGGTCATATCTAAAGCTACATATATAGGGTTTAACCATTCTAAGGTGTTTTGGAAAGGTAAGACTCCGGCCTAAAACTTTTGAGAGTAAGTCAAAATAAAATGCTTATATTAGAGTAGCTTAAATAAGACGTGAAGTTAGGATGATGGTTTTGTCATAAGATATGGGTATGTTTCAATATTTTTCTCATATCATGAGCTACAGATAATGAAATTTTATATTCTTTAATGTTTCAGAAATCTTAGAGAAAGAGCTACGACTTTGTTGAAGACACATAAAGCTAATTTAGATTTCAAAGGACCTTAAATGAAGGTCTAAGTTACTATAATATTGTTGTTACGGGAACATAGTTTTATTGTTGTTCCATTATGGTCTCAAGTTATACCCTTTTTGTTTGTTTATGGAGCCATAAAGATATACATTTTATTTTGTAGCCATAAATCAACTTTGAGCAAATGAGGGCATTCTTGAAAAATTCAAGAAATAGGGGTAAGTTACCTAATCCACATTCTTGGAGAATTAAGGCTATTGGCTTACAAAATTCATGAGTTATATGATTATTGATTGATTGTTCTTCCTTTAATTAGGTTTCTAAGTGTTGAAATTTTGGTGTTTTACACGTTTTTGGAACAAAGGAAAGGCTTGGAATAACTTGAGGAACAAGTCTACAAGAGATAAACTCTTGGAACTTGAGATTCGTCTCACTTAGTGTTCCACCACATACTCCTAGGGAGTGTTCGTTAGTTGCTTGAATGATTGATTGATTGTTAGTTGTATGACATAGTTGCATTCATATAGAACTTATTATGCATTGTGTACAGATGAATAAATAGGTATTAGAGGCTAGATTGTAGGGTTGCTGTATGAACTATTATACAATTCAGTGTTTCATGCTATGAATTGATTGTTTTGTTTTGTTGGTTAGTTGAATATATGTATGGACTTCCTTGGGGTTTAATCCTAAGAGGTACAACTCTTGGAAGTTTCGTACAGAGACTCGCTTTGAGGTACAGTTTATTGGAGTGATCCTAGTGCACAGGGTACACAAGTTTAATCAATTATGTATTGCCTCTATTTATATGTTGCTATTATGCCATGTATTCTAACTTTTTATGCAGAAAGTGAACATAAAGGTGGAGGAATCTCCCATGACTTTTAGTTTACTGAGACTTTTATCTTTCCCTGTTTGGAGCTATGTTATTTCAGGTTGTCAAAGAGGAGGTAATAACATTTCAAAGGAAAAGGAGCATGCATACCACTTTTGGATGCACTTTTCGAGACATTATGTATTTTGGAGAATACATTTATATAATCATATTTTGTTAAATAATTGTAAAGATGGCATGTATATTTAGATTCAATTTCTTGTGCTATGGTTTGTAATTCAAGTGATATAATCCATAGGTACATGATGTAAATTATATCATTAATGTATGCTTTGTATTTGAATATTGAGCCAAGTTGATGACATGATAGATTATTATGAATGTTTTCTTTTGAATAGAGAACTTTTGGTAT